TACCAAATTCTGTTGACCAAATTATCTCCTGCTAACAGAAAACCAGGGAAGCCAACTGATTAGGATGCCAAACTGCAGGCTGGTGAGATTAAGTGAAAGGTCAAAACAGGGCAAAAAGAGCCTGGGAGAAACAGGGAGGAGCCAGGGAGGGGCTTGGAGTGCATTGCATCTCACCAACTTGGATCAGTCTTCCTCTAAAGCAGTGGTTCTCAATCTTCCTAATGCCGCGACCCTTTAATACATTTCCTCATGTTGTGGTGACCCCCAATTTCACTGTTACAAACTGAACATAATTAAAGCATAGTGATTAATCACAAAAACAATATGTAATTATATATGTGTTTTCTGATGGTCTTAGGCAACCCCTGTGAAAGGGTCATTTGACCCCAGAGGGGTCGCGACCCACAGGTTGAGAACCGCTGCTCTAAAGAATGGCAAATTCATCTTAGATCCAGCCCTTGGGAAGCAGCAGGACTACACTTGACACAACATGAAACCAGAGGCAGATATTCTGAATGAGAATTCTCTACTTTAAAGAAACAATGCTTTTAGAATCGGCATTATCTTCTTTATCCTAGGCATCTGCCTGCCAACTTTTTTCATACATGGTACAAAATCAAATTTCATTTTCCTTATTAAATTATTATGAATTATAAATGGAGGAGTGCTCTTGATTAAGTATGATTGTGTAGAAATAATGGAATAATTGAGAGAATGTAAGTGAAGCAGTGGAGTTCCAGAGAAAAACTTTGTAATTTATTATTCTCCTTTCCACATAAAGTGATTATCTTTCACAGCTTTAATCATAACTAGCTGCTATGAATTTTCAAATTTTACATTTTCCCTGCTTATCCCATTACTAATTTCTGAAGCTATAACTCTTACCTTGAAATCTTCAGAACTTTTGCTCCCTGAGCCAGCTTCTGAACAGCAGATTACCCACACCTCATCCAGTCTATCAACCTTTAAGAGAAAAAAAATGAATCTCGGGAATTTTGTGACAAAGCCAAAATGCCACTAGAGAGCAAGCACCATGCTTGATTTTGAGAGACCCCATAATGAAATACTTTTATTTAAAGATTTCATTTGTTACAGTAAGAACCTGGAGATCCGGTTCTTCTGATCGTGCCATTTATTAGAAGACTGGCCTTAGAAAGTATGTCAGCCTCTCTTGGCCTTAATTTCCATTTCTGTAATATGTGGGGGATATGCTAAATGATTTTAAATTTCCTCTCAGCTCTAAATTCTGATCCTATGCTTACTAGTTTATTTCTTCAATGTCTCATGGATTAATCAGAAAGAAAACCTGGCAGAAAAGCAAGAACGTTACCAGCATCATTACATCCTTTTTGCCAGCTCACCCGCCCTGTTTCTACTTTTTAAGCTAAAAACCCTAGTGTTGCTCTTGATCTTTGCTTCTTATACACTTTATGGAAAATTGTAATAATATTAATTTGTAAACACTTATAGAGTGCTTTCCAAGTTTTACAACTCATTTTTGCAAGTGTTATTTGATTATCACAACAGCTCAGGCTGGTAGATATTACCTTCAATTTACCGGAAAAGGAAACTGAGGCCCAGAATAGTTCACTGAATTAATTGTCTAGAGTAGTACAGACAGTAAGCTATGGGAACAAGCCTTCTGATTCCAAAGCCTATACTCTTTTCACAACAGTACAGTTCCTACTAGGGGCAGATCCAGATTTTGTGAGGCCTCGGGCATATATAATTTTAGATACCTTCAAGAAAATACAAAATTACAGTGTACACTAGTAAGATCCTGTGAACAGATTGTTAGGACCCTTTCTCAGGGCTGTATCAAGTGAGGGGCCTTTTAGGTTAATCTTTAGAATTTAGTTTTATGGTTTTCCATGGTTATACATTTATTTAGTGCTTACTGTATGCCAAACACTAAAGTAGATACTAATTTTATTATCATAACAACCCTATGAGGTAGGTACTATGCTTGTTTGACAGCAGAGAATGAGGCTCAGAGCGATAAAATGAGTTGCCTAAGGACACAGAGCTAGTAAGTGCCACGTTGAAACTACTCAGGAGATCTGGCTCCAGGTCCATACTGTGAACCTACCACACTAGGCTCCCCTATGTCTTCTTCTGAGGTTTCCTGGAATCATCTCATTTCCATTACACAACCACAGTTCAGGCCGATAGGTTCAGGTCTGAACCAGTCCTAGTTTGTCTCCTAACTCAACTCTCATATTATCTAGCCTGAATGCTGTTGCCACCCTAACAATCTTAAAGCACTGCTGTTCTAAGTCCCAGTCACAATGACCTGAGTGCCTTCCCCTTCTCAGCATTTATCAAGGGTAAAAAGCAATTATTGCTCATAAGCACTACTTGACCATATATTCTAAACTGTCTTCTATTAGCCCGGCCAGTGTGGCTCAGTGGTTGAGCATCACTCTATGAACCAGGAGGTCACTGTTTGATTTCTGGTCAGGGCACATGCCGGGGGCTTCAGGGCTCAATTCAGTAGGGGGTGTGCAGGAGGCAGCCAATCAATGATTCTCTCTCATCATTGATGTTTCTATCTCTCTCTCCCTCTTCCTCTCTCTGAAATCAATTAAAAAATATTTAAAAACTGTTACGCTATCTTCTACTACAAAGTTGAACTGTCTGTTGTGTGTAAGAGACACAACACAGTGAGTGGGAAGAACACACATGGGAGCTCTCAGAACTGGATCCTTCAACCCCACCCACTCCACCACAATCTCAGGTTCTTCATTTGCAAAACACTTAAGGCCAATCCCAGAGGGTTGTTGTAAGAATTAAATGGAAGGGATGTGTGTATAGGGAAGGGAAGGTTGGGAAACACAGCAACTGCTCATCAGATGCTGGTTGATTTCTGCCTGACCCAATCTCCCCAAACAACTTGGAAGCTCTTGAAAGGCAGGGGCCTAGGCTCATACATTTTTGACATTGCTTAAAAGTCCTGGACATCACAGACACTCCGCAATTATACACTTTGATATCTGGTCTTGCTCAAGAACCTACAATGGTTCTTATGACAGAAGCAGACCCTGGACTGGAGTTGGCCACTTCCTAGCTGTGTGACCTCTGGAAAGTTACTTAACCTCTCTGAGCCTCAGGCCCCTTATTTGCAAAATAGTGGTAGTGAGACAGGATAGTAAGAAGCTAGGAAACCCCTTGGCAAGTAGAATGGGGAAACTGAGACAGACAGCTGAACAAACGGACCGAGCAATGTGCAGCCAGATACACAAGGTCACCTCACTGGCGGGGACATCTAGGCCTCCGTCCTAGCTCAACTCCAGGCCCAGAAGAGCAGCAAAACACAGGACACCAGGACCAGCTGCAATGATTCATGACCCTGGTGCTGACCAGCCCGTAGGGACCAGGACCCTGAAAGAGCACCCCTGGAAAACTGGTGAATATTCTGAAACCCTCCCGAGACCTCCCCTAGAATTCCCGCCAACAAGAGAGAGAAAGCCCTGGAAACAAAGGACCGGGCGCACGGTGGCCTTTCCCTGCCCCCTCTCCTTCCCCACAGGCGGGCCTCTCTCTCCAGCGGTTCTCAACCTGTGGGTCGCGACCCCTTTGGCGGCCGAACGACCCTTTCACAGGGGTCGCCTAAGACCATCCTCCATATCAGATATTTACATGACGACTCATCACAGTAGCAACATGACAGTGATGAAGTAGCAACGAAAATAATTTTATGGTTGGGTCACAACACGAGGAACTGTATTTAAAGGGCCAGAAGGTTGAGAACCACTGCTAGTAAGCGCTAAGGGTCCCCCGGAGACTTGCCAGCAGGGGAGCACTGGGCTAAACCCCTGAGCCTTTCTCCAAGGCCCCCCCTTCTTCCACTGCGCAGTGAGCACCCCCCCTGCGGCTTCCTCCATCCCGGGCCTCTCCTCGCTTCGCTGTCCCCCGCTTTAGTAAGGGGACCCTCGAGACCATCTGGACTCACGGGGTGCCATCTTCCCGGCACCACGGCAGGCTGGAGGGGCGGCCTGCCCCGGGCCAGGCCCCGATCCGGGCACAGCAATGCCTGCCTGCCGCCCAGGGTGGTGAGGACGAGTCAGGTGAGCGGCTAAGGCTGTCACCCGCCCCGCGGAGCTGCCAGCTAGCACGCCACTCGGTCCCAGGCGTCCGGCGCCCACGAACACTCGGCCCCTCCGCACTCCCCGACGTCCGTGTTCCGGGCGCGCACTCCCTCCCTCCGGGACCGGCGTGGTGGCCCTCAGAGCCGCCCGGCTCTCCCGACTTCTGCGTGTAACGCCCACCATGCCTCCGATGCCACGGGCCAGGCTCTGCCGTAAGAAAGCGCCACGGATCCTCTCGCCAAAGCCGCCACAGCCCCGATGAGGTCGGTTCCATGACGGCCGCCGCGGCAGAGAACAGGAAACAGGCTCTGCGGGCTTGAATGACTTCCCGGAGTCACTCGGCTCCGGCCAGACCGCAGCCAGGTAACCGCCCTCGGCTCTCCCCGGGCCAGGTGCGCCCGCGCCCATTCAAACCCGGCCAGGCCCTCCACGTCCAGCCGCCTCCCCGCGCCTCTCCCCCAACCCCCCTCCCCCAACCTGAGTCAGGCCCCCGGGGCGCGCCGCCTCCGTCCTGGGCGGCTTTTCCCTTTTCTTCCTCAGAAACCGGGGGTGAGGCCGACGTCCGTGTCCAGCCCGCGTGCGGGTCGCCACGGACTCCTCCGACGGTGGAGGGACGACTGGATCCGCGGGGTAGCGCGGCTGTGCCGGCGCCGCGGCGCGCGGGTCTCGCGGGGCTGCGGGTCACGTGCCGAGGAGGGGGCGCCGGCGCGCGGGGGTGGGGGTGGGGAGCGAGCGGGCGGGAGCGCGCGCCGGCGCCGGGCAGCGTGTGGAGGCGCCCGCGGCTGTTGGAGTGGATGTACCGGGGGGGAGGGGGCGGCGGCCGGGAAGGCCGGCTCCGCCCCCTGTGCGCATGCTCCGGCCCCCCCCCGCCCCCCCCCGCCGCAGGTTATAAAGCCGCCTCGCCAGCCGAGCCCACAAAGTGCTGGCGTGCGGCGACGTGACCGGCCGGCCGCGTGGGTGCCCGCGGGAGCCAACGAGGGAGCGGGCGAAGGACGCGACCGGGCCCTGGGCCTCGCGAAATTCCAGCCTCGCCGCCGCGTCACGCACACGCTCGCCGCCGGAGCCGCGCATAACGGTTAGTTGGGTCATCGCCGGCGGCGCTGGGCGCGGACCCCGGGGTGCCCTGGCTGCCTCTGCGGATCGGAGGCAGCCCCGGGGGAGCGGCGGCAGCCTCGGGGGAGCGGAGAATCTGGTCTCCGGTTGGAGGGAGGCGGCCCGGCGGGGCATCGTGGCGGCGGGCAGCCGCGTGGCCCCGGAGCGGTTGGGGAAGGAGACCTTGAGGCGCTGGGGACAGCGCCTCCCCGCCGAGTGCGGCTCCGCGGTCAGGTGCCGGTCACCGGCCTGGCCGAGAAGTTGGGTCGTGGTACCGGTGACCTTGGGGAAGTGGCTGCCCCGCTCGCCTTCAGGAGGCTCCGTAAGAGATGCTTTGGATCTGAAAAAAAAAGGGGGGGGGGACGACGTGGGGCCGGTTCGCGTGGTGCCTTCCAGACTCTCTCGGCCCCATGCCGCACCCGGGAAAGGGGCGCGGGCGGGAGTTCCTTTGGGCTCGCGGCGTGCCCGCCCCAGCGCTGCGGCCCGCCGGTCCCGGTCCGATCTGGTGGCCTGCGGGGGAGCTTTGGGGCTCTGCGGTGCCCGCCGCCAGGGCGTGACTGCGGGATCGCGTGGACTTTGCCGAGTGACGGTGCTGACGGGGCTCTTGGTCATTCAACCTGTGGCTGCAGGACGGCCGCCCAGGCGCGCGGGGTCCCCGCGGCGGCCGGTGGAGAGGAGCCTGAAGGATGGCGGTGCGCGGGGCCCGTTGCACGCTTTTTGTTCCAGTGCATCCTCTCCTTCCACGTGCCTGTGAGCGTTTCGCTGCTTTGTCACGACTGACTCGGTGCGACCAGCAGTTGCTAAAACTAGTTTGCAGTTAATTAATTCATCTTCACAAACGTCTTCACTACTTGGGCCGAGTTTCCAGCGTCTGCTTATAAGTAGGCGTCTGCTGATAACGGTAAAATGTATCACAACCGGTTTTGAAATTTTTTTTTTCTTTCAGATTTTCTGGGGTGTTGTTTTTTTTTTAAAGTGTGTACAGCGCCAATGCCCTGATAAAATAAACGTGGGATCGGTAACTACTGGACTGTTGTGATAGGGTGAACTCTGAATTGTGTGAGTTCGGAAAGTCTGTGAGCAGGAATTAGGCATTGATAATTGTGATGTCCGCTCACAGCCCGCCAGGTGAGGTGAAGGAGAGAGTTTATGTATCTCCAGCTTTTTAGTTGAGCATTAAACGGTACCTATAAATCCAACTCTCACACCCTGGGGAACAATTTGCCTTCAGATTGCCATGCATTAGGTAAAGAATTGAAGACATCTAGCCCTTTAAACAAGTAATGGGTATTACTTAGAAGTTGATCATACTTCAGTAATTAACAGTAAAGATGCTGTTCTTTCATCGGATTGCAGTGACTTTTGTTAAATATGCAAGTTTATGGTCGAGAGCATTTTGTGAGATTTTAGTACCTGAATAGTTTTAAAGGTTCCGCTGTAAACTTAACACAATAGGCTATAACATACCTGAACAGATTAAAAAGGGTGGAGGGGGGTGAGACCACCATAGGATGAAACCAACAGATTAGTGTTTCAATTATTTACATATCTTTTGGCTGTGTAAATATTAACTCATATAATATAAACTCTGGAAAAAGATCTTACTGAACACTGAGGTTCCCTTATACTGCAGACTAGAGGCCTGGGGCATGAAATAAGTGCACTGGAGTTGGGGGAGGGGGGCCTCTAGCAGTCCTGGAGCTCTTGGGGGGGATGTGCGATTGACAGCTTAGGCCTGCTCCTCCAGGGCCTAAGCCTGCAGTTGGCCATCCTTAGCACTGCCACAGGCGGGAGCTGCCCTCACCAGCTCAGGGCTTCTGGCTGAGTGGCGCTCGCCCTGTGGGAGCACATTGACCACCAGGGGGCTGCCCCCTGGTGGTCAGTGGGTGTCATAGCAACCAGTCATTTCCCCATTCGGTCAATTTGCATATTAGCCTTTTATTATAAAGGATAGGATTAGGAAACTGAGGTTGGAGGGTTCGTGATGTGTAATCTTAGTTCTGAAATCTTGTTAATGGTTTGTTGGGAATTACGTATTTTGACTCCCATTGAATCAGATTTGCATTCCTGAGCTTTCTCTAAAATTATAAATATGGATATAAATTATTTCATACTGAAAATTGATATTTTGGGTAATAACTTTTCCCAGCTTATGTCCTCCTTTTCCATTGTGTTTTCAATCCACTTCATAATTTGCATTCCCATGCAAGATTTAGGTCCCTGTAAATGCCTACATGGCCATTCTGGTTTTGTTGCAGATGAAGAGTTTGAGAAAACCAGATGAAAAAGTTGTGAATTTTTATGTATTCAGCAATTTGTTATTGGCTACCAGGCACTATGAGAGACTTAGGATATAAGATTTCCTTTCAGAGCTTTATTCCCATTCTAAAAGTTTTCAAACCATATTTTGAAATATGTATTTCTTCTATCCCTATCTAGTAAATTCTTGTATGCATAGTAATTGTTTATTAATTCATATCCCTTGAGGAGTCTGAAAGTTATTATGCTACCTTTGATCCTCATTATCACAAAGAATTAAGTTGTTTGATTAGTAACAAACCACAAAAGTGTATTAAAATTGAGTATTGTTTGTCTAGTACAGCAGTTTCCAACCAGTGTGTTGCAAGAGGCACGCTGGTGTGCCGCAAGAATTTTTAAAAACATGCAATACCTGACTATTTAGTTAGGCACACTGACTTCTTTTCCCTTAGATTGTCAAATAAATAAAGGGCAACAGCTAACACAACAATAACCATCTAGTGCAGTGGTTCTCAACCTTCCTAATGCCGCGACCCTTTAATACAGTTCCTCATGTCGTGGTGACCCCCAACCATAAAATTATTTTTGTTGCTACTTCATAACTAATTTTGCTACTGTTATGAATTGTAATGTAAATATCTCATATGCAGAATGTATTTTCATTGTTACAAATTGAACATAATGAAAGCATAGTGATTAATCACAAAAACAATATGTAATTATATGTGTGTTTTCCGATGGTCTTAGGCGACCCCTGTGAAAGGGTCGTTCAACCCCCCCCCCAAGGGGTCGCGACCCACAGGTTGAGAACCGCTGATCTAGTGTGAACAAATCAAAATTATACCTATTTTTTTTGTCAGGTCAGCAAAAATGTGAGGTTTTTTTGGTGTGCCACAGAATTCTGGTGGTCAGTTTATGTGTGGCATGCGATGAAAAGGGTTGAAAATCACTGACCTAGTATGAAAGCATTATCCATCACAACTGTTTTTATTTTTAAAGATTTTTTTAGAATATATTCATAGACATTAAAGATGTATCAAAAAGAAGTCAGGATTATTACCTCAAAATACACCACAGTTAAACTTAGTCTTTTTTTATGTCTGACAATATATATATAAATTTTAAGACTATGTTGTCATTGAGATAATTATCAGTTCCTTTATTAGAAATGAGTTTTCAAATGAGTGCTTTATTTTCTTGGAAACTACAGTAATTATTAAACCACTTCTCTTCCATCTTCTCCATTAAGTAGTTTTCTAGGTGACAGAGTAAATATACACAATCATTACACACAATCATGGTAGACTGATAATAAGGATGTTTATTTCTAATCTGCAGAGCAAGTATTTCAAACCTGAGGTACATCGACTTCTTTAGGATTCCTCTTTTTGAGCAAAACAAAGGCCTGCATCTAATGTAGCAAACTGTTGAAAACACGATTTGAGGCAATTTCAAACACATTTGCTGATGCACTCAAAAGAGGGCAAGAAGATCCCCAAGTCAGTGAAGATGCCATTGTTTTTGTTTAAGTTATATGAACATATAGTTCCTTAATACAAAGGAAAATCATTCTGCCTGAACTTGTGAAAATTATATGCTCCTTTGCATTTTGTTCCCTCTCATGTTTGAGATAAAAGTCAATGGCCAAAGATTTACATAGCCTGTGACATCATGATTACATAAGGCCGTGACACAATTCTGTGCGTGTTGCATCACAGGTTCTAGTTAACTTCACTCACATCAGTACAAGAGTTAGGAGCAGGAGTCCTTCTGTGGCTCTTTGCCACAGATTCCTTTGCAGTTTGTTCAAACGTATGGGCTCCTTGTCAGAATAATGTGTTTAAATGCATAAAATAAAATACAAAGGTATAATTGTCTAATTATCTTAATTGGATATTAAGTGCTTTTAAAAATAACAAATTAGATACGATCTTATAGTAGGTCTACAGTAATTTTGAACTAGTAATCATATTAAACAATTTCAAGATAGCTGTAGCCACGTATGAGGATATAAAAAATGTGTTTTCTGTAGGTGACAAAGGCACAGATACTGCTAATGCTGCTATGGTTTGTTGCCTACATTCACAGTTGAAATTAATTCTAAACTTTACTTAGAGGCTAATTGAAAGATCTTTTAATATAATTTTTTACCCCAACCAAGTTCACAGACCCCTTGAATTCCACCCACAATAGAGTACCAATCAATGATCAAATATATAACTTATAATGCCTATATATTTTGAGGAATTTCTTTTTTTTATAAAGGCTAAGTCATTGTAATCAAATCAGATTCAACAAAATTATGAGTTGTTGTGATTAGCAATAGGGTAATGGTGGCAACTAACAGAGCTGTATCCTACTTCTGCATAAATGATCAGTAGCACTCTTAAGTAGATGTGAACTCCTGCTGTCATGGTATGTACTCTGACCCTCAAAGAGAAACACCATTTCCATAAGATCATTATTGTTCTTTTGATCACTGCTCTGCATGATACTGTCAAGTAAGAAATGTCCAAACCTGTCAAGAATTTTTATGAGTTTGAGCACAAAACAATGGACAGGGTTTGTTTAAGGCAAAGATAAAATCTTTTACTAAAAATGTTATATACTTGGGGCATGACCATAACCTGCCCAGTTAGGAATTTATGATCAGATTACCCTACGAGGTTACTTTCCATAGAAATCTTTTTTCATCCACAGTACCAGGGCTCAAACTTGTGGCCTATGCTAGTCTTCCTGCCATACAGATCCATTATAAAATGATCCTACTATCAAAAAGGAAAAGAGAGGGCGGGGGGGGGGGGGAATTGCAGGGAAAGAGCATGGAAAAAAAATATTCATTTGCCAGGGCAAATTAAAGGAAAAATAAAGGTATACAACTTAAAAAGGTAACCTGAAGCCATAATTACAGCAGACTTAAATCAATCCAGACAAATACTAAATGTGGTAGGCACTAGAAAGTCCTGAGTTTTTGATAAATGACAAAATCAGAGCTGGCAGCATATTACAATACAGACTGGAGAAGGGGTATGGCAGTGATAGAAGGTAAAAGGGCACTGCACCAATCGTGGCAGCACCTAAACTGGGTAACAGTAATAGGAATGGACACAAGAGATAACAAAGGGGAGATGGTTGGAGGTTACTTGCATTTGGTAGGGCAGGGACTCCACTGGAGAAGTATTAACATGACTTGGAGATTTTAAACCAGGTGCTTGGGAGAATGGTAGACAGAAGAAAAGACTAGGTTTGGGTTATAAAGGGAAGTTGAGAACAGGCAGAGAAAATTGACCTTCAAAAGCAACACGTAAGTTTGAAATGCCCAAGGTAATTGGGAAAGATCATTTATAAGAGGAGTCAATCCCTATCTTCAAGGATTTAAAATCTGTAATCTGGTTACAGCTGGAGATTTTCCCCCCCAAAATAGTGTCTCAATCATTTGCATTAAAGCACACAAACTTTAACTTGCCCTTCCTCTTTATTAAGTCATTCTAGTTAATCAATTAAGAAGAAATGTTAGAATTAAAGGCACAGTTAAATTATTGCCATTTGCAAGCCACTAATAAAATAATGGAGCTAGGGCATTCTGTTAATACAACAGAATAAAGGGGATAACCAAACATCATATACCACACCATGTGATAGAAATACACACCACCACCTATGAATTATCTTTGCCCTCTCCCCCACCATCCCTTCTCTCAAGAAATCAAAGCTGAACTGATCTAAGCATGCTCAAAGTCTTCAATCTAGCTACCCATCTGCAGGAAATACAGGGGGTTGGAGGACATGCTAACCTAGGACATGTTAAAACTATACCAGAAGGACACGTTCAACAAAATCCAGAATGAGGGAAACTGCAGGAAAAATAACCTGATTCCTTCAACAAATAAATTATGAGGAAAATAGAGAAAGGAGGAACCTTTACTAGTAGATTAAAAGGCATACCAACCAAATGTAATGTGTGACCTTGTTTGTATCCCAAATAAAAAGAAACCAATTATTTAAAAACAATTTTGGAAAATTTGAACATCTCCTGTTTATTTGGTGATGCTAATTTTTAAAGGTGGGATAATGGTATTATGGTTATGATTTTTTAAATAGTCATATCTTTTAGAGATATACTGAAATATTTGTAGATGAAATAGGATTTGCTTTACAATAATCCAGTAGGCATTGGAGGAGGGTTGAGTAGGTAGGAGTTTCATCCATACTCAGTTGTGCTTGAAATTTGCCATTATAAATTGTTCGGAAGGAAAAAATAAAAAGCATCACTATCAATAACATCAACAAAAACAGAGGACAGGAATGGATTTGAGTTTTATTTCCAAGCCTTACAATCTGAGCAGCCCTGGGCTAGTCACACAACTTCTTAATGTCCCTTTGGTTAAATGGAGACAAATACCACCTAATAAACTCATAAGCTCCTATTCAAGCTAGAAACCTGAAAGATTTCTAATTTTTATTGATTTGAGAGCAAGGAAGGGAGAAAGAGAAACATCGATTTGCTATTTCACTTATTTATGCATTAATTGGTTGATTCTTATATGTGCCCTGACTGGGGATCGAAAACGCGATCTTGACATACCTGGACGATACTCTAACCAACTAAGCTACCCAGCCAGGGCTGGGAGATTTAACTCCTGGTTTCCCCAGTCTCCCACTTCCAGTCCACCACTGAATCCTGTCTGTTTCCTCTCTCTTCCATTCTTCCACTACCATCCAACTTACCTATCACTATGGTCTTACAACACTCCAATAGCCTCCCTCCAACCCACATTGTAGAGTGACGTTCCAAAAATGCAAAGTGTGAGCATGCTGACTCCAGCCCCACTTACAACCCCATCAACTGCTTTCGATTGGATTTAAGACCAGAGTGGCTTCTTAAAATACTTATAAGGCTTTCCACTATCTGTTAGTGTCTACTTATCCAACTTCCCATCTCACCCCATTCTCTCTGCTCCCTCTTTAGGTTTGGTAAAATTCTTTCAGGTTTTCCAGTGCACCCTGTACTCTGTAGCTCAGTACTTGTTTGGGAATGCTCTTTCCACCATCACTCTGTGGCCTACCTAGGTCTGGTTTATCCTTCAAGTCTCAGGCTAAATAGCATCTGCTCCAAAAGGTCTACTCAGATCACTTCTATACATACTAAGTTGGGTGTCTTGTCACACCTACACAACACAATATTTTTTCCCATAGAAACCTGTACTTCCTCTGTCATAACAGTCAATAATTGTTTGTAAAGAGTACTTGTAATTATCTATCCATATATATAAAAAGCCAACGACCAGAACAACCAGTTGCTATGACGCCCACTGGGGCCAACAGGATCAGGGGCCAGCCCGCCAACCTCCTGTATGGTCCCTCCCACCCCCCAGCCCCACCCCTGGTCAGCCTCTCCCACCCCGATGGAGGGCGGGGCAGCTGGCCAACCCGCCTCCGACCCTCCACCCTCCGTGGCTCTTCCCCCCACCTGGCCCCACCCTGATTGACCCTAACTCATCCCATCGGCCTGCAGCCCCTCCCCCCGGCTGGCTCCGCCCCTAATTGCCTTCCCCTACCCCCATGGTTGGCCAACTGCGGCTAGCGAGCCACATGCGGCTCTTTGGCCCTTTGAGTGTGGCTCTTCCACAAAATACCACATGCGGGCGTGCGTACAGTGCAATTGAAACTTTGTGGCCCGTGCGCAGAAGTCGGTTTTCAGCCTGGGCAAGTATATTTTGAAGAAGTACTGTTGATATTTGGCTCTGTTGACTAATGAGTTTGCTGACCACTGCCCTACCCCAATAGAGGGCAGGACTGGTGGCTAACCTCCTGCAGCCCCTCCCCCCAGCCAGCTCCACCCCCAGTTGGCCCCCCACATCTATTGGGGGTGGGGCTAGCCGGCCAACCTCCCACAGCCCCTCCCCAAGCCATTGACCCCTGACTGAACCCACATTCAGGGGTGGGGCCGGCCTACCCACCTGCAGCCCCTCCCCCCAGCCATCCAGCCCCCAATCACCCTGTCTCCTCCTCCCAACAGGCCCAGCCCCAACCCGCTGATTGGGGCCAGGCCAGCCGGACCCCACCCGTGCGTGCACTGGGCCTCTACTGTATTTATAAAATGTATATTATATGTTGTCTCTAGTCCTCAAAACTTAAGATGGTTTTTTTTTTTTAATATATTTTATTGATTTTTTACAGAGAGGAAGGTAGAGAGATAGAGAGTTAGAAACATCGATGAGAGAGAAACACCGATCAGCTGCCTCCTGTACATCTCCTACTGGGGATGTGCCCGCAACCCAGGTACATGCCCTTGACCGGAATCGAACCCGGGACCCTTCAGTCCGCAGGCCGACGCTCTATCCACTGAGCCAAACCGGTTAGAGCAAGATGTTTTTTATGTTAAACTAAGTATAGAGTTAATTTTTTCTATGAGTGAATAGTTTAACTCAGATTTTTGCAAGAAAATAAAAGGCTTTCTTTGTTGTTTCATCTTTTAATGAATGGTAATCTTCTTATTTTCCCCATTAGGCTTCAGAATACTGGAAGAGAAGTAGATTCTAGCAGAAATACCACCTGTTATATTCAAATACTCATTTATACTCGAAGTAATATAAAGAGCAGAATCCTAACAACACATCTATTTGTCAATTTAATCCAGCCACTCTGTTTCTTCAGATTCTGGAACAAGGTAGGTCATGTATTCATAATTGGAAATGGCCCACTTAGGTCTTGATTTGTGCAATATATTTTTGTTGAAAACAAATATGATACAGGTATTCCAGAATATAACCTGGAATTGCCGTGCATACCTTCCACCTTCTAGACAAAAATAGGTAATTAATCTGCTACTATAAGAATATTACTTTTCATCTTGGGTGTTGTGTTTAATAGCTCTTGGACTTCCTTTCCTCTCTCTCTCTCTCTGTCTCTTAAGTCCTAATTCACTAGGAGCAAAGTTAAACTGGAGATTTATGTTTTTCATGCTATTTTCCCTTAAGTCTACTTACTCTGAGATAAGGGGCTATAACCCTAGTAATAAAAGATGCTAACTTGGGTTTCATCACTAAACTCTGTTCTCAGAGTTTTGACGATTGTCAACTGAAGTAAAAATAGTTGCTAGTTTCTTCAAATTTCTTTATAATAAACATTTTAACAGGTATTTCATAATTTTTCATGAAATCATGATCTTCAAGTTGAATTACTAAAGGGGGAAAAAAAAAAATATATATATATATATATATATATATATATATTTTGTTAATCCTCACCTGAGAATACTTTTTCTATTGATTTTTAGAGAGAATGGAAGGGGGGGGAGTGAGAGAGAGAAAAATCGATGTGAGAGAGATTAATTGGCTGCCTCCCACAGACATCCTGACCAAGGCTGGGGAACACAACCCAGGTACGTTTCCTTGGTCAGGAATCAAACCCACAACCCTTCAGTGCATAGGCCAATGCTCTACCATTGAGCCACACCAGTCAGAGCAGGAGAAATATTTTTGTTGGAATTTGAGACATTAATGAAATATTAAAACTAACCCTCATCAGGAAAACCAGAACCTGAATTGAGAGTTTCTGCATATTATTGGGACCATACTTCTCCCTTCTATGCCTTTGTATAAAATCATATTTGAATGAATAGATGCCAAAAATCATTGTTTTACAAGAAGAATTAAGAGTGTTTGTTACAGTCTGGCTGGCATGGCTCAGTGGTTGAGCATCGACCTATGAACCAGGAGGTCATGGTTCAATTCCTGGTCAGGGCATATGCCCACACGTGGGCTGGATCCCCATTGTGGGGCATGCAGGAGGCAGCTGATCAATGATTCTCTGTCATCATTGATGTCTCTCTCTTTCTCAATGTTTCTCTCTCTTCTCTCTTCCTCTCCTAAATTAATCAATCAATACATATATATATATTATTTTTAAATGTTTGTTATGGATTCTTATTACTGAACATGACTGGCTGAGATTGACAAAAGAGGATTAAATAAATATATATACATGCGCATATATATATATATACATATATACACACACAAACACACACACACACACATATGTGCATATATATTTTCACTACCTTAAGTTTGCATATTAGTTTAACCATTTGTAAATATGATCAGCTTCATCATTTCTCTATACTACGTATAAAACTTTAATCTTCAATTCTAAAACAAGAAAATTAGGATTGCCCTGACCGGTTTGGCTCAGTGGATGGGATGTCGGCCTGCGGACTGATGGGTCCCAGGTTCGATTCCAGTCAAGGGCATGTACCTTGGTTGCGGGCACATCCCCAGTGGGTGGTGTGCAGGAGGCAGCTGATCGATGTTTCTCTCTCGTCGATGTTTCTAACTCTCTATCCCTCTCCCTTCCTCTCTGTAAAAAATCAATAAAATATATTTTTAAAAAAAAGAAAAGAAGATTAGGATTGACATTTGTAAAATGTGGGTCACAATAGCAACATATAGGGCTATTGTAGAGTATTAAAGTTAATATAAATTCATTGGAATTGTGCATCAAACAGAAATATAAACGAGTAATTCTTACTTACCTAGTAAGTCTTGGGCATTTTGTATTTTTTTATGGAATTTAGTTGTAAACAGCCAAAGTCTCCCATGTTTGTCATTCATTGAAATAGCTTGCCTGGCTTTGTTCATGAATAGCAGAAGCAGCTCTAACTACTGATATATTGATATATATATATATATAAAAAGCTAAGTGACTGTCCGACCAGCCAGTACATACGACGCACACTGATCACCAGGGGGCAGACAGTCAATGTAGGAGTTGCCGAGCTATGGTGACTTGGCAGCCGCGGTTCTCAGGTGATGCACCCCAGAACCAGAGAGGAGGGAACCCAATTACTCGAAGGGCCACGCAATTCCACCTTCGGCTGTGGGTTATGTTGTTGATATTAAAATATTTCTTCTAATTAATTTCCTTTCAATGTGCACAAATCCATGCACTGGGCCACTAGTCTATACTAATAATAGAGGAATATGCAAATTGGCCAGGACGCCAGGACGCCATCACAGTAACAGTAATGACCAGCAGGCTGCCTCGGGCAACAAGGCCAGCAGCGGGGTTAGTGACGTATTACCAAACGACTGAACAGCCGGCTGCATGGGGTGATCAGGGGTAATCAGGCCGGCAGACAGAGGCGGTTAGGGGTGACCAGGGGGGAACAGTTAGGGGCGATCAGGCTGGCAGGTAGGTGAGCAGTTAGGAGCCAGCGGTCCCAGATTGTGAGAGGGATGTCCGAGGGTTCCCGGATTGGAGAGTGCAGGCTGGGCTGAGGGGACCCTCCCTCCCCCTTGCATGAATTTTGTGCACCGGGCCTCTAGTATTGATATAAAAGTGATGCCCTATAGGAAAACTTAACCATTTCATTAAACAAGCCAGGAGTATTTCTGATACATGTCATTTGGCGGTGGCACTAAATTTCATCCTTTGGTAATCTTTCTCAGTGCTGGGTCTTTATGCCCACATATCTCCAATTTATTGGCAAATTGGCTTTCCTCATCTAAGCAAAAGTAGCTAATATTTAGCAAAGGTCCTGCATAGAACGCTGTTCACAAGGTAGAAAAAAAGAAAAGTGTCATACTTTAACAATCTGTACAGAAGACTGCAGTGGACAGAGGTGGTAGAAAGGCTAGGAATTGGGGGGTATTAGTAGCTTATGTTGGAGAACCCTCCACCTCCAACCTCCGAAACCTGTCTGTCTTGTTTTAGGTGGTGAAAGGGCTCTGAGATCTAACAAACACCCCCCATTTCATCACCTGTCCTTTGGCACATGATATATTTACTTGAAACAGAGTGTCCTTTTCTAGATCACAGCAGAAATGAGGACAGTTACAAATGTTAGTTTTCATCTGTTTCATGGTGCTTAGAGCTCCTGACAAGTATGTATTATGAGCTTTACGGTTGGGAAAAGCTTTGAACAAATTCATGGCTCGGGTAGAAAATACTCTTTAAGAATACATATGGTATTTAGGACGATAAGAAAATGTGAGGAGGACTACAGGGAATTCTTAAAGGAAAGGAAATATTAGTTATTTTGTTTTATAATAGCAGTTATACAAATCTTTACAATTTTTATCAAACTATTAAAATACATATGTATGTAGTTTAAATAGACTTAAGGCTTAGTCCGTTCTATACCATCTCTTACCACCCTTTCCCATATTCATATGCATCAGCCTTTTCGGTAATTAATACATCCTAGTCACTTTTTAGTCACTTTTGTGATCACATAGAGTTAATGCTTTAAAACAACAGCCATTTTCTTTTTTAAAAAAAATATATTTTTATTGATTTCAGAGAGTGAGGGAGAGAGAAAGAAAGAAACAAACATCAGTGATGAGAGAGAATTATCGATCACCTGCCTCCTGCACGACCCCCAGTGGGGTCGAGCTTGCAACCCAGGCATGTTCGGGGAGTTGAACCGTGTTCTCCTGGTTCACAGGTCAATGCTCAACCACTGAGCCACACTGGCTGGGCACAGCAGCCATTTTCAAAGTGTGGTTATGGACCACTCCAGGACCTGAAGACTTCGGGACTGGAGTCCTTGTAACTAATCATTAAGAAACAATCACTTACCAAGTTTTAGTGCAGTATCAAAGAATATCCACAATTATCTGAAAAAACTATTAAAATACTTCCTTTTCCAACTATATCTGCTTAAGGTAATTGTAAACCAAAAATTTTGAGATCTGTTGTCTTAAAAAGAAATACACTATATCATTTACTGGTAGGATGGTCTGCCCATGTAAATAATAAAAAATCTGCAAATTATTGGTAACTAAAATAATGATGTCTTTAAGGATTATAAATATCAGCTAAATAAAAATAAGATCCAGAATCAATTTTCATATAGTCTGAAAGATAGACCCAAAATCACGCTTTAAGCATTCTGGTTAGCAAACAGTTAAGTTCAAGGATAATACAGTATATTTGAATTCTTGTTATGTGTGTTGGATTTGATTGGAATGATAAGGGAGATACAAACAGTTGGAAGTTTGTAGAACCAGGTTTACATATTTTTAGGTTGTTTATATACAGTTTGATCAAAACTATACATTTCATAACTACTGATTGGCTAGCCAGCTACAGTAGTTCTATTCACTGGTGTTTTCTGATTTGTTTGTTTGTTTGGTTTTTTAAAAATTTTTTTCTTCACTCTAATCAGTTTCAAAATGAAAAAGACTACAAAAGAAAGTAAGGTTCCTTGGACCTTGAATCTAGGAATCTACCTTGGAGAGGTGGTTCTGTAAGCCATGAAACTGCCAGTTATAAAGCACAGTAGACTTGCTACTTTAGCAGAAATAGCTTCAGTAAATGGGTCTTTCTGGATTTAAATGTTTCCAAGTGAATTTCAATCCAAAAACTGCTATGTACTTAGTAACAAATTCTTTTAAGATTATTGATTTTAGATACTTTCTGCCTCCCCCTCTACACTGCCTAAACCACAGATATTTATTATCTCACAGTTCTGGAGGCTAGAAATCTGAGATAAAGGTTTGAGCAGGGTTTGTTCCTTCTGAGGGCTGGATAAAGATCTGCCCCATGCTTCTTTCCTAGCTTCTGGTCGTTTGCTGGCAGTCTTGGCATTCCTTGGCTTGTAGAAGCATCGCCCAGATCTGTCCTCATGTTCACAGGGCCTTCTCCCTGAATGGGCAGAGCATG